GATCTACACCAACCTTTCACACTATATATAACTTTCAAATGGAAATAAGATTTAGACATACATAAAGGGTGACAGCACAAGCAAATTGGAGGGTCAAGTAAGAAATTAACCTTCAGGTCTGTGGATAGGGGAAAAGGTCATGACCAAACAAAGAATAGAGAGGTTCATAAAAGTTAAAATGGACAATTTCAATTTTATAAAATGAAAAAGGTTTTGCACAAATGAAACCAATGCAGTAAAAATTAGAAAATAAATGGAGGGAAAGTATATGCAAGCAAGCTTCTCTAATAAACTTATATCCAAGATATATGAGGAATAAAATCAAATTTATAAGAATAAGAACTGTTCCTCAATTGATACAAGGTCAAATGATATGATATGAGAGACAATTTTCAGAGAATGAAATCTCTGAAACTTTGAAATTCAAACTCCAATAGTCACATAAAATGCTCCAAATCACTAACAATCAGAGAAATATCAATTAAAGCAACTTTGAGGTTTACCTCACAACTATTAGATTGACAAAGTAGACCAAAAAAAAGGAAAATTGCAGATTTTGGGGCAGCTACAAGAAAACAAGCATATGAATGCCCTGATGGAGCTATGAACTGGGCTAACCATTCTTGGAAAGCAATTTGGAATTTGCCTAAAAAGTTACTAAACTATCTCTATACTCTGACACAGTCATATCACTAATTGTCCTGTATCTCCAAAGGGACAATAGAAGAAAAGGAGCACTTTGTACAAAAATATGCATAGTAGTACTATTTGTAGTGACAAAGAACTGAAAACTGAAGGAGCGACCATTCCTGGGGAATGACTGAAGAAATTGTGGTATAAGAATGTAGCAGAGTACTATTATGTCATAAGGAATTATGGAAGAGATGTCTTCAGAGAATCTTGAGAGTCCTTGTATGAACTGATGCAGAGTTAAGTAATCAGAATCAGGTAAATAATTTATATAGTAACAAAAACATTATATAGACACACAACTTTGAAATACATGAGAATTCTGTTTTAATACAATTATTGATCATGATTCCAGAGGACTGATGATGAAGCTTTCTACCTGCCTTCTGACAGGGATGTGATGGACTCAGGATGCAGAATGAGACATATACTATTTGGAAATGGCTTATTCCAGGAATTTATTTTGTTTGACTATGTGTATTTCTTATAAGGGTTTTGGTTTTGGTTTTTGGTTTTCCAGTGGTAGGTGGGTTGAAACAAGGGGAAAATATATTTTTAATTGAAAAGATAAGTTAAATGAAAAAGTAAAAACCAAGGACTAATTATGTATCTAGATTTTGATAATGTGGGATCGTTTGGCCTTGTTAGTCCATGCAGAAGTTGGGGTGGGAAAAGGTAGAGATCACTTGTGCTCCTGTCTCTCTGTTGACTACTTAGCTGATTTTCTGGCCTTTTCTTATTCATAGCCTCACATCTTTTATATGGTGTGAATGAACATTTTCAAAATTTTGCATCCTTCAGAAGTAGCAAAATGTTCCATTCAAATTGGAAAAGGACACACCCTTTACAAAGTGCAAACTGTGTAAGAATGAGACATAGGCTTAAATTGGCATTGACACTTCAAGATAAAATTTCAATATAATTGACAATTGAAAATTATAGACACAAGAACATTATTGAACTCTGTACTGAGAAAGCACAATTAAGGTCAAGACAAAATGGAAGTCTACAAGCTCTAGTTTTGTTTTTGTGTTAAATGTGACTCCTAATGTAATTTGGACACATTTCATGCTTCATAGTAACAACCACTTGTATGGAGAAATATGAGTGAAGAGTTATAAAGAGTTTTGTTATATGAATAATGTTTTTGATTAAAAGAAATAGTCTAGTGAAAAGAAAGATGATATGGAGGATGATATAGGATACTTCTTTATTACTTTGGAACACACTTTTTCTGCCAAAGATCTTTAAAGGATATTTAACCTAAAAGAAGAAATTGCCATTTATTCTCAGTGATATTTAATAATGTGTGTGTGTATAACTGAATACTAAATATATTCTACATTATTATAAACATAATTTTATAATAAACATTGTCTCTTTAAACATGTGTTTGCTGGATTTTTTTTAAAAGCTGATTAAACAAGTTAATTCATCTTTCTCAAATTCATAGTCTAAATCTGAAAGATAAGTTGATTGTAGTTACGAAAAAGTTGGAGTTACGGACAATAGATTTATAACGAGATATTTTTGATGTTTCCTAATTTAGCTCAGCCATCACATTATTAATCATTTTAATGATGGTTCTTCTTTTTAAAGTTATACATATAAAAATTCCAAAATAGCAAGAATTGTTTGAGTATTTTATTATCTTTAATGTACATTTAAGGTTTCTTTGTGTCATTATATAATAGTAAAATTGTAATGAATTTCTAATTTATATTAATAAAATGTATAATTAAATTTTTATATGGATTGTTTTATGAAACATGTAGAGAAAGGCATAACGTTTTTTGTAAAAAAAAAAGTGGGGGCATCATTGTCCAAGGTCACACACCTATCAAGGAGCACTGTCAGGATTTGAACTCTGAATTGGACTTCTACCATGAGTCAATGATTATACAGACTTTGATACTAATTTTAATATTTCAAACATCTGTGAGAGAAAAATAACTAAAATAGTAAAACAGGGTGAAGGGAGAGTGATAGAAAAAGAAGGGCCAGTATGCCTTCTCCATCATGTCCCTGATTCCTGACAACTTCCTTTCACCTAAGACTACTTATTTGGCCAACTCAGTAAGCCTCTCACTGAATAACAGCCACAAATTTGAACCCCTTTGCCACACAACTACAGGAGATCTTCACTCTTTATTTTACTCTCTCACCTGCTCATCAGCCAATATGTCCCAGACCTCAGTTCCTGAGTACAGTCTGAAGCCACATGAAGCCATTTTCCCCTCCAACATTCTATGTGCCTACCAAATCTCCTACTTACCAAATGCCAGTGTTCTCATTGAGTTCTCTATCTGTTCATTTGGTTCCAATTAGCCTGGCTTCCATGACTGCTCCCACTAGTTTCATCTCCCAAGTCATACTTTTAAAAACCTCAATAATTGAGTCCCTCTAACATTGTGCTTAGTGTTTATTCTTTTCTCTCCAACAGTATTATAAAGCATTGAAGTGATGAGACATTTGTGGTAGTCCAGGGCCTGTGTCTTATAACTAGAACTCTTACTTCTGCTGATTATCTGAGGATATTGACTTGGATTTAAATAAATTTAAATCAATTACATTTATTTGTTAAGCTCCTACTATGTGTACAACATTATGTTACTGCTAAGAATACAAAAATAAAAACAAAAATAGCCCCCATTAGAAAGAAACTGATGTGCCATGGGGAAATATTATACCTTTGGTCTTACTTCCTCTGAACAAGAAAAGATCTTAAATTTGTGGGGGATACAGGTACTGAGAGAAAATACAACACACACAACAATGAACCAATGCAAAGTTAATACAAAGACAGTTCAGAAGCAAGAGAGCATATATAACTGGGGAGATCAGGAAAGGTGTTGTGTGGGAGATTCCACCTCAACTGAGCCTTGAAAGATATAAGGGCTCTAAATATGTATAGAGGAGAAGTGAGTGTATTTTAGGCATAAGATACACCAAATGAGCAAAGACACGGAAATCAGAGGTGAGAAATTGAATTTGGGGATAAACTGGTAGGTCAGATTGGCTACAACATAGGAGGTATTAGAGGGAAATACGAAAATCTAAAGAGATAAATGTGATCCTGACTGTGAAGGGTATAAAATTCGAAGCAGGAAAGTTAGTATTTTGTCCTAAAAAAAAGCCTTAGGATTATTAGATTCTGGATTTAGAGGAAACTGAGGCAAACAGGATTAAGTGACTTGCCCAGTGTCACACAGCTAGTAAATGTCTGAAACCAGATTTGAATTCAGGAAGGTGAGTTTTTATGACTCCAGGCTCAGCACTCTGTCCATTGTGCCACCTAGCTGCACTTCCTGTTTCATATAACTCATCCAAATCTGATCACTGAGCTACCTATGGTTTCTGCTCAGGGAGAGTTTCTATGTAGAGAGTTGATTGACTAGGGGTGAGATTTGCAGTGCGAAAAGCAAATAAAGGAGGCTATCCCAACAGTTCAAGTGATAGGTGAGGAAGACCTCAATTAGAGTGGTGGTTGTATGAATAAAGAAAAGGTGACTGATATAAGAGATGTTATGGAGGTAAGTTCAAGAAGCTTCTGCAACTGTTGACAATATGTAGAGTGATGGAGAGGGAAGACTCAAAGATGGCTTGGTTATGTAATAGAAATTTCATATTTCTCCTAGACCAAACAATTTCTTTAAAAAAAATAAAATGAAAAATTCACAACGTTTTAAAACAATGAGTCTGTCATGGCATCACTGTACAAACTAGATTTGATTGGTGAAAAATAAATAATTTGTTTTAAGAAGGAAAGTTAGCCAAATATCCAATGTTGATACTGTAGAAAGCTCTCTGAATATGGATGAAATTAAGTAAGAGGGCAAGCACAGAACATGAGCTGGATTTCCTTGGCCCCTTCCCTAAAACCATGGGAAACTAACCTTAATACAAGTCACAAAACCCCAGAGTTGAATGGGGCCTCAGAAGTCATCTAATTGTGTGTTGTTTGGGCAGGAATCATGGGATAAAGCTCACAAAGCTGGAGAGTGAAGTAGGAAAAATTTAGTGTCAGGTTGCCCCATGATTGCCCTGATGTCAAAGACAGACAGAAAAGAGGAAATAGTGGTAGGATTCCATAAGAAGAGATGATACATAGAAGGCCATTCTGGAGGGAAAGCAAAAGGACGAATTCCAAGTGATCAGGGAGGGAAAAAAACATTCCTTTCATCAGAAAAACAAATTTTCTAATTTGATAATCACTATTTCATCGAGGTAAACAAAAATAAATTGTCTGGACCAAGTGACAGCAGCTATGAAAGGGAATACATAAGAAGCCCCCATGGCAAGTCTTTCAGAATTCAAGTACCTCACTCAACTTGAAAGAAACCCAGAAGCTCAACCCACCAGCACCATGGTCAATTCCTGCTGTGGCTCCACCTGCTCTGGCCAGAGCTGTGGCTCCGGCTACTGCCGCCCCAGCTGCTGCCAGCCCTGCTGCCGCCCCAGCTTCTGTATTACTAGCTGTTGCCAGCCCTGCTGCCGCCCAACCTGCTATGCGTCCAGCTGCTGCCGCCCAACCTGCTGTGGGTCCAGCTGCTGCCGCCCCAGCTGCTGTATTTCTAGCTGCTGCCGCCCCAGCTTCTGTCGCCCCAGAAGCTATGTGTCCAGCTGCTGCCGGCCCTGCTGCCGTCCCACCTGCTGCCAGACCACCTGCTGCAGAACCACCTGCTGCCGCCCCAGCTGCTGTGTGTCCAGCTGCTGCCAGCCCTGCTGCCTCCCCACGTGCTGCCAGACCACCTGCTGCTGAGAATCCGGACTTGTTTGCCTTCAAAGCATAAAAACAAGCTCATCACTCTCCATACTCTTATGAATCAGTGAAATTATGCTCATTAATGCCAATCAACTATAAGAGGAGTCACAGAAGACTAATGTTTACTGTCTATGTGGTCCAGTCTTTTTATTTCCCTTGTCTCCCGCACAAGCTGTCCATCAACCCTGAATCTGCCAATTAACAAAATAAACCTCCACTTCTTCACGCGGCATTCAGAAACCACTGGATAGAGGAAATCACAGAGTTTTCCATCTAAAAAAGAACCTGAGGGATCATTGAGTTCAACTCTTGAAAGAACCCTTGCTACCTGACAACTTCATTGTAGAAACATCCAAAGTGACCCTGATGAATCTAGAACTTAAAGCAATGATGTTTCCATCCCACATTTCTTTTCATCATTTCCTCATGTTCTATTGCTTGTATGTGTCTCAATAAAGCTCCAGTTTTCAAATAATGGAAATCATTGACATAGCTCATCATTCCATTGTGTATTTTTTTTTTAATTTTTGGTGAGGTAATCAAGGTTAAGTGACTTGCCCAGGGTCACACAGCTACTAAGTGTCAAGTGTCTGGTCTGAGGTCACATTGGAACTCGGGTCCTCTTGACTCCAAGGCCAGAGTTCTATCCACTTCGCCACCTAGCTGCCCCCATTGTTTATTTTCACCAATAATTTTTGTTCTATTTTCATTTCTGTGCAGGTACTTTAAGTCAGACCAGTATCTGCAGTGTTACAGGGGATCATAGAATAACAATAACACCTGACACACATGGTCATTGTGAGAATCAAATAATATATGCAATAAATTTTGCAAACTTTAAAATGCTACATAAACATTAGCTATTATTACAGTTACAGTAACAATAATAATAAACCATTTATATAATCTTTTTTTGTTATAAAGTGATTTACACTCTCATATTATTATAGATATAGAGTCCTATTAAACCTTTAGAAACATTTAATCTAACCCCTTCATTTTAAAGATGAGAAAACTGGGGAACAGAGAGGTAAAGTGAATCATAGAGAACACACAGGAAGTAAGTAGCAGAAATGAGATTTGAATACAGGTTCTCTAACTTGGAATGAAATGTTCTGTCTGCTATACCACACTGCCGACTTAGTTCATGAAGTTCTCACAACAACCTGTAAAGTTGGTATTGCATCCATATTTTATAGATGAGGAAACTGAGGATTGGAGCAGAGAAGTGACAGATAAGGTCATATATCTATGTATTGTCAAAGGCAGAACTTTAACTCTGGTCTTCAGACTCTATAGTGAAAATGATTTTTCCATTACACCATGTTTTTGAGTGGGAGTAGCTACTAAGCATAAGATATGGACAAGATGTGATTTCATTTATATAGAGAAGAACCAGGTAAGGAAACTTCCTATACTAATGCATGTCAGCGCCATGTCTGTAACTTATGGCAATCTAGATCACTAAGCAGTTAAATAATTTACTCAGAATCACATGACCAGTGGTCATATGACCAGCTAGATGCTGCAGTGGATAGAACATTGGACCTGGAGTCAGGAAGAACTGAGTTCAAATGTTGCCTCAGGCACTTACTAGCTCTGTGACCCTGGGGAAATAATTTAACTTTGTTTGCCTTGGTTTCCTCTTTTGTAAAATGAGCTGGAGAATGAAATGGCAAACCATTCCAGTATCTTTGCCAAGAAAACTCCAAATAGGGTCATGAAGAGTTGGACTCTGCTGAAACAAATTAACAACAAAAAATTCAAAACAGCCCTTTATATATTCAGTGAATTTGATCATTAAGACTATAAAACACCAGAATTTTGAGTAAAGTTAACAACGGACAAAGAAGATAAATTTTCCCCTTTTAATAAAGGTAAGAACAGATTTGACTCATCATAAAACATTTACTAGACTATGCTATATACATAGCAAGGATTCCCAGTCCAATGGATCCATCTGACAACCATAAAGAACTGTTATAGATGCTTATTTCTTGGTTCCATTCTTCATCTAATTAACAAAGGAAATCATAACATGTAGTTATGCAAGAAATAAAATGCAATTTTCAATTTTTTTTTCATCTTAATCAAAGCACTAGTTAGCTTCTTAGGATTGGTGTTAATACCCAGTGGAATTTGTTTCAGACATTTAAGTGTGTCTAGGGAATGGTTGACCTCATCATTGAAGGTCTTTAAGTAGAGGTTGGATGTCTATATAACACAATATAAGGAGAGGATATATCAAGAAATAGTATCTGATATATCAGACCAACAAAAGCTAACAGAAATACATAAAATCCTCTTGATGACTTTCTATACATCTGCTTCTCATTTTATACAATAGCTGTACATCCTTAAGAGGATGTATATCAACTGATTTTTAGTACTTTGAAATATGGTTACTGTATCAATGGAAATTTGTTGTTTAGAGAAGCCCTATTGTGAATCCTTCTGCAATGCAAAGAATGATCCCTTCATTTATCTGTCTTCTGTCATTTATCTGTAGTGCTTTATATATATATATATATATATGTATGTATGTATGTATGTATAATATACACACACATGTATATTCATGTATATATGTAAATTATGTATCATGAGTATGTAGTATGTAACTTTATACCTATCTACATATCTGTGTATGTTTTATATTTTCTTGTTGTATAGTCATTCAGTCATGTCAGACTTTTCATCACTCAATAGGCCATACTGTCCATAGCAGTGATACTAAAGTGTTTTGCTATTTCTTTCTCTAGTGTATTAAGGCAAACATTGGCTAAGTAACTTGTCCAAGGTCACATAGCTGGTAAGTATCTGAAACTGAATTTGAACTCAGCTCTTCCTGACTCCAGGCCCAGTGCTCTATCCAGTCAGCCACCTAACTGCCTCCATGTATTTTGTACAGGAATTTATAAATAGGATGAAGCACCTAAGTGGTGCAGCGGATAGATCTCTGCACCTGTAATCAGGAAGACCGAAGTTCAAATCCAGCCTCAAATACTTAGCAGTATGACCCTGGATAAGTCACTTGACCTTTGCTTGCCTCAGTTTCCTCCCCTGTAAATGGGGATAATAATAGCACCTACCTCCCAAAGTTGAGTATTTGTAAAGTGCTTTGCAAACCTTAAAGCCCTATATAAATGCTAATTATTATTACTGTTATTATGTATATATTGATAATGGTAGGAAAGGACACAAAGGTCACAAGAAAATTAGTGGCATCTCAATGTGAAACTGTAGGTAGCTTCCGAAACATATCCACTATCCACACAAATTGTGTCAGCTAGGCCTGAGATCTCAAGAAAATTGGTTGCAGGCTCGCACTGTGTTGATATAATTATAATTTTTATTGCATAGTGTAAAAAACATAAGAGGCAGCATGGTGTAATGAATGACATGCCAGACCTGGAGTCAGGAAGAGCTGGGTTCACATCCTGCCTCAGATACTCAGTAGCTGTGTGACAATGAATAAGTAACTTTACTTCTCTAGGCCTATTTCCATATTTGTAAAATGTGGGGATTGGACTCAATGGCCTCTAAGATCAATTCCAGCTCTAAATCCAGGATCCTATGCAGACATATTTATACATAGAAAGGGCATGAGAAGATATGTACCTATCAACTTCTTTTCCATTCACTGAGTCTCCATTTCTGCGTGACCTAGAGAAATGAAGCTGTATTCACATGAGTTTCAAAGAAGTTAATTATGTCCAAATATATAACAACGAAATTTAGGTGGCCTGCAGACACTAAGAGTGGCCTGGTTTTATGCTGAGGTAGGTAAAAGGAACGACATATTTCAATCTATATAAGCCAAGCCCAGCTATATTTTAATAAACCAGTCAGATACAATGACACAAAAAGACTGATTTCTTTAGAGTTGCAACTATACTCATGGATATGCATCAATCAATTTAGCTTTCTTTATCTATATGTCCCACAACCTCTGGGTGGAACAGACTGATCTAACCCAACCATACCACCAATATTATGCATGTCCAGAATTCCAAACTCCTCTCATAGCATGAAATCAAATCAACAAACAAGTATTGAGTGCTTCCTATGTACTAGGTTTCAGACTAAAGTCTGCCCTCCAGAAGCTTCAATCTAGTTGGGAAAATACTTCAATATGTGATAGTGTATTTGTGATAGCATCAATGCATATACTTCTTCTAAGCATGCAGATTATAAATCCCAGTTCTGACCCTTCTTATATCCCATGACTTTTGGCCTTATCCTCACATAAATCTTCCACAGAGAATCTACCTAAATTGCTAGGTGCCTTCCTTTTGCTGTGCTTCAGTCATTCAGTCATGTCTGACTCTTCGTGACCCCATGAGCCACAACACATCAGGCCTTTCTGTCCTCCACTACCTCTCAAAGTATGTCCAAGTTTATGTTCATTGTTTCCATGACACTATCTATCCATCTTATCCTCTGCCATCCCCTTCTCTTTTTGACTTCAATATTCCCCAAAGTCAGAATCTTTCCCAATGTGACCAATGTATTTAAGCTTCAGCTTCAGTATTTGGCCTTCCAATAAATAGCCTGAATTAATTTCTTTAAGATTTGACTTATTTGATCTCCTTGCTGTCCAAAGGACTCCTAAAAGTCTTTTCCAGAACCACAATTCAAAAGCATTGATTTCTGCAGTGCTAAGTTTTTCTTCTAGTCCAACTCTCACACCATACATTGCTACTGGAAAAACCATAAACTTTGACTATGTGGGCCTTTGTCAGCAAGCTGATATCTCTGCTTTTTACCGTGCTGTCCAGATTTGCCATAACTTTCCTTCCAAGGAGCAAACATCTTTTAATTTCATGGCTGCAGTTGTCATCTGCAGTGATCTTTGAGCCCAAGAATATGAAATATGACACTACTTCCATTTCTTCTTTTTCTATTTGCCAGGAAGTGATGAGATCAGTTACCAAAACCTTAGTTGTTGTTTTTTTTAACGTTAAGCTGCAAGCCAACTTTTACACTCTCCTCTTTTACCCTCATCTAGAGAATTCTTAATTCTTTACTTTCTGCCATCAGAGCTTTCCTCGAAGTCTCACCAACTGTTGACAGATTGATACACACTTCCTTTCTCCCCTTCTTTTTGTCTCCTCTAGATAGGTTAGTAATCCATTATTTGTTGAAGGTGTCAGCCATAAGTTCATGAAAAAGTTTAAATAACATTTTTACTAGATCTATGATTTCATTGGTTATAGGGAATTTCCAGTTAGGAAACTCTCTCTACCAAGGCAGATGGGGATCTGCTTTGCAACTTTTAACCTTGGGAAGTTATCTGGGACACTGAGAGATTAAGTGACTTACCCATTCTACCACAGTCAATATATGTTAGAGGTGAAACTTGAACCCAAGTTTTGCTGACTCCAAGATAAGCTGTCCCTCCATTGTTGCAGGGAATACTATCACATATCCTCAAGAAAAAAAAATGAGAAGTTTATGTAATAGTTCAGGAAAATAACAAAAGAGATGCAAAAAGGCAGTAAATAATGCATAGGCATATAAACTATACATACATATACACGAGTCCAGAAGAATAAGATCAAATGAGACTTAGGTGAGCAAGCTAGTCTATACAGAGGAAACAGGATTGGAGGTGGACTTTAGAGGAGAGGGAGGATTTCCATAGTCTTGGAGGGTAGATTATTCCCATCAGGCAGAAGGCTATGATTAAAAACAACTCAGAGGAGTTCAGGAACTGTCCAGAGAAAAGAACTACAACTATTTCACTGGAGAAGAAAGTTTATGTTGTGGTATCTAGATGAAATAGACATCGAAGGTGAAAAGATATTCCAAATGATGCTTGCTTTGAAAATAAGTCCAAGTAAATGGCCTACTAGGAGACATATGACCCTAGGTCTTTCCTAGACTAAAGACATGCAACCAGACTATTAGAAATGAATAATGCTGATTAATGTTTGGGTGGCAATTAAGGAACACTTTGAAGTCAGAGCATAAAATTATGACTCCAGGGTAAATGGGCAAAGGAGAGAATTTAATTTCAGTGAGGAAATAAGTTTTTTTTTTGTTTTTGTTTTGTAGTAAGTTTGGGAATGCTTCAATGACAACCTCACAATTATCTAACCAATCCGGTGCTCTCATTTCAGGAGACAGAATCAAAAACAAGGAAAAGGTCCTGGATTCTGAGGGACTGACAACACCTGCTCAGGTATATAAAGGGTCCAGAACAGGACAGAGCATCCAGACCTAAAAAACCAACCTCTCCTTCTTACCCAACCCAAATCAGTACCAAGCAACACCATGGTCCACTCTTGCTGCGACTCTGTCTCCTCTGGCTGTTGTCAGCCCAGTTGCTGCCAGCCCAGCTGCTGCCAGCCCAGCTGTGGCCAGTCCAGCTGCTGCCAGCCCTGTTGCCCACCCAGGTGCTGCCTGCCAGTCTCTTTCCAAACCACTGTGTGTCGCCCAGTGAGCTGCGTGCCCAGGTGCAATCGCCCTATCTGTGACACCTGCTGCCGCCCTCCCTGCTGTGACCCCTGCAGTGTGCAGCAGGGCTGTTGCCGCCCCATCTCCTGCTGCCCCACCTCCTGCACAGCTGTGGTCTGTAGACCCTGCTGCTGGGCTTCCACCTGCTGCCAACCCATTTCTGTGCAGTCTCCCTGCTGCCGACCCCCCTGCTGCCAGCCAGCCCCCTGCCGCACCACCTGCCACTCCACCTGCTGCCCCACCTCCTGCTGAGTATCTATGCCTCCTTTGAGTCAACCAAGTCAGAATGAAAATATTGTCTCGTGAGCTGCTAATGTTCATCATTACATTCTTCTAGTCAGGGAGTACCCAGCTTACCCAGTCCTTTTCTGTGCATCAAATGACAAATTCTCAGTTCTCCATGCACAAGGACTTGCAATCAATTTCTAGCAGCAAATGGCTCATTGGGAATGACCTAGATGGACTTTCCAAGTTCATCCCAACAGGTTCTGACCTTCCTACATTCTCATTGGCATTCTGAGTCTCAACAAATCTATTATTTTCCATAAGGGGTCTTCTGTATAGTGCTGCTCATTTGTTTTCAATAAACATTTTCATGGCATAGCAAATACTCTTCTCACTCTAAATTCTTCATCAATGTGTGTTTCACTCACTGTGGCTTAGCTAGAGCACCATTTGAAGAAGGTGAGAAGTCATACCTTTTGAAGACACAAAGGAGCTCAGGCATTATCATCTCGTCCAACACATTCATTTTACAGGTAAGGAGGTTCAGAAGGAGGAACAGACTTGCCCAAGGTCATGCAGTGGCAGAATTGAAACTTAGGTCCTCTGAATCCAATTGGAGTACTCTTTATTCTGTACTATATTTACTGTAAGATTCAGAGAATCATCAAAAATCAGGTTTGACATTATGACATTGAGTATTTTGTTGTTCAGTCATTTTTCAGTCATATCTGACTTTCAGTGACCCCATTTGGGGTTTTCTTGGCAAAGATACTGGAGTGGTTTTGCCATGTCCTTCTCCAACTCATTTCACAGATGAAGAAGCTGAGGTAGACAGGATTTAGTGACTTGACCAGGGTCACACAGCTTGTAAATGTCTAGAACACATTTGAACTCAGGAAGGTGAATCATCTTGAATCCTGGCACAGTGCTCCATCCACTGCACCACATAAGTGTCCCAATATTGAGCATATTCCCACATAACCTCTCAATGGTGTGCCCCCCTGCAATTCTTTGAGTAATGTTCAATCATCTTTCCTTTTCATTCCCCTCATTAACTTGGGGGAAATCTAGAATCAAACCCAGGATGAACCTAGCTGATATTACAATGACAATATCCAAAGGCTAAGAAGCATATATTATTTTTTATTAAAAAAAAACACAGTGGAATATAATAGCCCAGAAAGTTAATTCTGGGCTGCATGGGAAAATATAGCATCCAAAGCTAAAGAGGCAATAGTCTTCTTGTACCCTGTCCCAGTCAGACTAGGAATAATATATCCTCAAAGTTCATGCCATTGTGGTGGTGATCAATCAGGACCATAGATTTAGAGCTGGAAAGGGACTTAGAGGCCTTTGAGTCTTACTCCCTTATTTTACAGATAAGGAAACTGAGACTCAGAAAGGTTAAGGGGCTTACCCTGGGTCACAAAGCTAATAAGTACTTGGGATGAAATTAGAACCTGATTCTTCCTGACTTCAAGTTCAGTTCTCTATCCACTACTCTACAATGGGTAGAGACAGTGGGGAGGGGAGAGAATGGCAAAGCAGAAGAGTAGCTGTACCACAAGGAGTTCCTAAAGTTCTGGAAAGGAACCTAAAAAACAAGTTGACATGGGTTCTGGTGGTGCCACTGACTAGGAAAATACCCCAATCAGTGTAACATAACTGTTAGTAAGAGTCAAAGAAATAGATGGAGTAGTATAGTGTCACAGACTGACTCTACTTGAAACTGTCATCATGACCAGCTTGATATAGAAGATAAGAGATTTGAGAGCTCTTTCAAGTTCTGGTCACACCAGAAGGTAAGATACACCAGAACACATCAGAAAAACCAATATCCCCACCTTCTGGAAATGCTTCAGGGCAGATAGTACACTCTATGAAAGTTGGCAAGCCACACATGTGTATGAAATAGACTGTTGAGAGAAAGAGAAAGAAAGGAGAGGAAGAGGGAGAGGGAGAGACAGAAAAAGAGAGAGAGAGAGAGAGAGAGAGAGATCATTTATTAAGTATTTAGTATATGACAGGCACTGTGGGAAGCACTGTGCTAGGCTCTGGGAATAAAAGCGAGCGTGAATATAAACTCCTTGAGGCAAGGAGTTTATATTCTAATAGGGGAAGATATACAATACATAAAAGGGAACTAAAAAGGAAGATTATATGGGCTGCAGCTTTGTCATAAGGTGTCTGGGAAGCAGGATGGAGGACTGGATTCAGGCAAATAAAGGAAAGTTCACATATCAGAGCCCAATGTCCCAGGGGGACAGTCTAAGGTTTCAGAAAGGAGAACATGGGTACAATTATCAGAGTATGAGCAGAGTGATGTGGAGAAGACCAAGAAGGGAAAGCCTGGTCTAAGCAAAATAAGGTGAAGCTTCACTTCTGAAAGCCTCTTTTCACAAGGGGCAAGATCCATTTCCATTAAAGTACTAGAGCACAGAAAAATTGCAGACAGATAATACAATTGATAAGCAAGGACTATTCTGCTTTGTAACAACAATTCCACCAGTTCCAAGTTATACAACAATGTATTGCTGGGGCAGAGCCAAGATATGCAGAGTATAGGCAGCAACCCAGTTGAACTCTCCCAACATTCCCCTCCAAATAACTTTAAAATAACTCCTCAAATCAAATGTTGGAGTGGAAGAGCCAACAAAAGGTCAGAGAGACATTTTTCTAACCTAAGATAATGAGGTTGACAGGAGAGGTCTCTAACACCTGGGAAGGGACTGGCCCAGAGCCTGGCAGCAGCAGCAGTAGCTTCAGGAGTTCCCAGCCCAGAGATGTAAGGAGGTCAGGAAACTGGTCAAAATGAGATTGCAAGGGACCCTTTGCTTACACTGGGTGCAGCTGGTGCTGATCGGTAATTCTATTGCATGTAAGCAGTTTTAAGTCGCAGTTCTGAAGCAGAGAGGAGCACTTGTGGTCTGTCACAGTTCCAAGGTCAAGAAGAACACTAGTGCTTGTGGCTGCAGGGGGATAGGGGTCCTTTCTGGGTAAAGATCAGAGTACAAACCAGGAGATCAGTGACCACACCTCTTCCCAGGATAACACCATGTTGGAAGCACTAAAAACTTGCAGACCCCCAAAACTAGCTCTGAAAATAGCAGCACAGAAAACCCTGAAACTTGTCATATGCCTCCCCAACCTGAGATGAACAGAGCCTAACTTTAAATAGACTAAGAAAATGAACAAAGAACAAAAAAATAACTTGACCATAAAAATCTACTATGGTGACAAGAAAGATCAAGACATAAACTCAGAAGAAGACAATGTCATCAAAACAACCATAAGTAAAGCCTCAAGGAAAAATGTTAATTGAATAAAAGGCCAGAAAGAATTCCTAGAAGAGTTTTTAAAAAGAGAGAGAAACAAAAGTGGTAGAGGGGGAAAAATGGGAAAAGAAATGAGAGTGATGCAAGAGAATTATGAAAACAGAATTAACAGCTTGGTAAAAAAAATGCACAAAAATACTGAAGAAAATATCATCTGAAAAAACAGAATTGGCCTAATAGCAAAAGAGACACAAAAAATTCATTGAAGAAAAGAAGTATTTTAAAAGCAGAATAGATGAAATGGAAAAGGACATAAAAAAATTCACTGAAGAAAATAATTCCTTAAAGAGCAGAATTGGTCAAATGTAAAAGAGAGGTTAAAAAGTTCACTGAAGAAAATAACTTTTAGGGGGTGGAGCCAAGATGGCAGAGTGAAAGTGGTGACTTGCTTTAGCTCTCCCCCAAATACCTCCCAATAACTGTAAAAAAAATGGCTCTAAAAAATTCTAAAGCAGCAGAACCCACAAAAAAGAGTGAAACAAATTTCCAGCTCAAGACAACCTGGATGGTTGATTGGAAAGACAAATTGCACCAGGTGGGGAGAGGAGTGCAGTTTGGCGTGGGCACACAGGCCGCAGTGACCCTGGCCTCAGAGGACTGAATCATGGGCAGCTGTACCGGTTTCCAGACTTCTCAAACCATGAATGTCAAAGACAACTTAGAAGGTCAGTGGGAAAAGTCTGTGTCTGCAGTGAAAGAGAAGCTAGGTCTCAGTCTCAAGTTCCAAGCATGGCCTCCGGGGCAGCAGTTGTCTCCTGAGCTTCTGGCCCACAGACTGAGGGGGAATCCAGTGGCTGATCAGAGGGAGATTGCAGGAATCTCTTTGCCAGTGCTGAGGCAGGAATCTTTTGCTTTGCCCATGCCTGGATCTGGGTCACAGTTCTGAGGGGCAGTCGTAGGGTGAGGAGGAGTGCTGGCATGGTGGAGCTTGTTGTGGCTGTAGAGAGGAAACACCCTGCCCCTTATCATACCACCTTGAAAGAACTGAAAATTTACAGGTCCCTAGAACTATCTCTGGAAACAGCTGTACAAACCCCCAAAGCTTGGGACAGTACATTCTTCACACTGGAAGCAGACTCTTACCTTAACAAAGAGTTTAAAACTCAAGTAACTGACTGGGATCATGAGCAAGCAGAGCAAAAAGAGTCAGACTATGTTATCTTACTTTGGTGACAAAGAAGATCAAAACATACAATCAGAAGAAGACAACAAATTCAAAGCTCTGACATCCAAAGACTCCAAGAAAAATATGAATCAGTCCCAGGCCTTGGAAGAGCTCAAAAGGGATTTTGAGAAGCAAGTAAGAGAAGTAGAGGAAACACTGGGAAGAGAAATGAGAGTGATGAAAGTAAATCATGAAAAACAACTCAACAGCTTGCTAAAGGAGACACAAAAAAATACTGAAGAACATAACACCTTAAAAAATAGCCTAACCCAAACGGCAAAAGAGGTCCAAAAAGCCAATGAAGAGAAGAATGCCCTAAAAAGCAAAATTGGCCAATTGGAAAAGGAAGTCCAAAAGATTACTGAAGAGAATACTTCCATAAAAATTAGAATAGAACAATTGGAAGCTAGTGACTTTTTGAGAAACCAAGACACTGTAAAACAAATCCAAAAGAATGAAAAATTAGAAAACAATGGGAAATATCTCATTGGAAAAACAAGTGACCAGGAAAATAGATCCAGGAGAGAGAATTTAAAAATTATTGGACCATCTGAAAGCCATGATTAAAAAAGAAAAGGCTAGACATCATCTTCCAAGAAATGATCAAGGAAAACTGCCCTGATATTTTAGAACCAGAGGGCAAAATAGAAATTGAAAGAATCCACTAATCTCCTCCTGAAAGAGATTCCCAAAGGAAAACTCCTAGGAATATTGTAGCCAAATTCCAGAGTTCCCAGGTCAAGGAGAAAATATTACAAGCAGCCAGAAAGAAACAATTCAAGTATTGTGGAAACACAATCAGGATAACACAAGATTTAGCAGCTTCTACATTAAGGGACCTCAGGGCATGGAATATAATATTCCAGAGGGCAAAGGAGATAGGATTACAACCAAGAATCACCTACCCAGCAAAGCTGAGTATAATTCTTCAGGGGAAAAAATGGTCATTCAGTGAAAGAGAGGACTTTCAAGCATTCTTGATAAAAGACCAGAGCTAAATAGAAAATTTGACTTCCCAATACAAGACTCAAGTGGAACATGAAGAGTTAAACAGGAAAGAGAAATCATAAGAGACTTATTAAGGTTGAACTGTTTACATTCCTGCATGGAAAGATGATATTTGTAACTCATGAGACCTTTGTCACTATTAGGTAGTTAGAGGGAAAAAATTATATCTATGTAGGTAGATAGATAGATAAATAGATAGATAGATAGATAGATAGATAGATAAATAGATAGATAGATAGATAGATAGATAGATAGATAGATAGATAGATAGA